AGAAGGAGAAGAAGAAGGAAGAAGAAGAAAAACCGAACGAAGAAGGAGAAGAAGGACCGAAGAAGGAGATAAGGTTTGTGTGGTAGATAATAGGTTTATTTAATGGTCCCATTCCAAAAAGGATTGGGCTTCGGACCCAAAATACTTGATTAAATGGTCATAACTTGAGCTCTGTAACTCCGATTCGCGAGCCGTCTGAACCGACGCGATCACAAAAATATTTCCTACGAGATGACATAAAAGTTGGGCTTAAAATCCAAATTATAATTTTAACCCCTTATTGGGCCCAATTCGTAATCAATTGCTCTAACAATTTAATTAATTCTTTTGGGCCAGATTTCGGGGCGTTACACTAAGTCATCAAGATCGGAAGACTAGCGCGGATCTCTTTCTCACTTCGAAGTCTATGAATGGCTTTTCCGGAATTGTCAGCGAAGAACCGGATGCCTCAAGAAAGACCAGAATTCTCAGAAGCAGACAAGTGAGAAAAGACTTAGAAAATTATCTAAGTCTTGAATGAAGAAATTCTACCCGTTGGTAAGGAAAAATCAATCTCTTGATTTTCAACGGCTAGATTGGGGATAATTAAGCTGATTCAAGAACAAATGACTTGAAGACAAAGTCTGGACTTCCCAAATTGAAGAGCTCGCCTAGAATTCTTAAACAAGCACTAGAAGACAAATTGAGTACTCCACTCAATAAAGAGCTAAAGTCCAGAATTCTTGAACAACAACTAGAAGACGGATTCTGTGGAAAAAGAAATCCCTCCTCAAACAATTGGGTATGACAAAACACTCATTCCAATGAAGAATCCTCAGTCTCACTCTTCGCTCAAAATTGAAGCCAGCAAATGCAACGGATAGTTTATTTTGATTCAACGGATAGATTATCCAATCCAGCTATATATATAAAGCTCCCATGGAAGACTGGAGAATTGAAATACAAGAGATAACATAGAACACAACTGATCAATCATCAACAACAAGAACAAAGCTATCTCATCCACAGTTAGCCAAAAATCTTGATAAAGAGAGATTTCTAAACTCCTTATCCAGAAGCAAACTTCTCCTCCTTCCAAAGAGCTATAGTGTAAACACTTGAAGGTTTCCTTGCCTCAAGTACCACACCACGTTGAAGAATACAACTTTTAATCAAACTTCTTGATTAAAAAGGGGGTACATCAACTTTCTTACAAGTTGATCTTGCAAGTCCTATTGTTCGGATCTTGCAGTTGTTGAAGAAGCGTGACCTTCGAAGGAACAACAAAGCCAGAACGTGTGCAGTAGCAACATTGGACTTGCAAAGATATACGTGCAGAAATTCACACAAGTGTAATTGTTGGTTCATTATTCAACAACCAACTACATAGTGGATTTTGAGGACGTAGAAGGATTACCCCACCTTCGAACCTCGTTAAAGTTTGCGTGTCTCTCTCTTTTATCTTTACTCATACTTGCAATTATATTAACTGTGAAACTAACCCATCCATATTGATTACTGCTCTATTAATCCACCATCTTCCGCACACAATCTAAAGTTCACAAGAACTCTAGATTAACACTCATTTTCACGTTTTCAAAAGAAACAAAAAAGTTTTTAAATTTGTAACAAAGTCTATTCACCCCCCCTCTAGACTTTAATTTATATCTCACCACTTTGGGA